ATAGAATAAATTACAATTATAACAATAATAATAGTGTGCACAAGTTTTAGACTTTAGACCTCAAAGTTGAAATACAATAAACACATGTTCCTAACATTTCTTCATGGAGCCTTTTAATTTTAATTGAAAACTTTTAATTTTTATTTCTAGACTAACAAGGTAAAAATGAAATATTGGACTTCTAAAATTTGAAGTCCCTCTAAAATTTGGGGCCCTGTGCGATAGCCCAGCTTGCACAGCCCCAAAATCCGGGCATGGTAGTCAATTGTCATAATTGATGAATTTAAAAAAAAAATTGTAGGATGCCAAAAATAGAAATGAATATCCTCATTATCTCTTAAATTTAATGAGCGTGGGCGGATGTAAATCATTAAGTATTTGCATTTTGTGTAGTAAGTATCATCTTCAATTCATTGTATTGTATAAATAGTTGAAAAGCAAGCTAAGGGTGCTTAAAGCTGCCAGCTTAAACCCAGCAGGCGAGGCCATTCACAATTTGGTAGCTAATTAAGCTAGGAGAAAAATTAAAGCTAAGGAAGAAGAAGAAGATCAGAAATGGAGGATTATGGAGATATGGAGTACGGATGGGGAGCAGGGTCTGCGGCGGTGATGATGGTGATGATGATATGCGTGCTGTTTTTGCCGTCGGTGGCGGGTTCCTAGTTGTTGCAGCCGCCTCCTTTCTTCGTCCTTGTTATTTTTTCCCTTTTCATCGTCGCCATTGTCGTCTACCTTTCTCACGTCTCACGGGAAAAAGACTAAAATGTGCGGTCAACAAGGCGAAATTCTCAAAATGTGTCGTATTTTTTTTTTGACAACAATATGCAAAACTCCTTTCGGAGTTGCGTTTTTGGAGTATTTTGTATTTTCATGTATTTGTGTAAAACGCAAGAGGCAGTTGCGTTTTACGTATACGATACGTAAAACGCAATACGCTCTTGCGTTTTTCAGCGCATACGGTATCCCCCAAAACGCAACTTACGTTTGCGTTTCACGTATTATACGTAAAACGCAAAACCAAGTTGCGTTTTTGTCATTTTTTTGTACCGGCTGGCTCCGGCGAATTTGAAGGCCGGTGAGAACCACAAAACGCAATTCGCAATGGAGTTTTTGGTGCGAATAGTTAAAACGCAAGTTGTAAATGCGTTTTTGAAATGTTAAATATTTCCGGCCGCGACTGCACCGGCAGCCATCTACACGTAAAAAGCTTCATTCCTCGCGAGTTCAACACGAATTCCTGATTTAACTTAAACAAATTAATTATTTTTTTTCAATTGATCATGCATATATAGCTGATTATATACATATATATATAACTTCAGAACAACTGAAAGAGTGAGAGTTTTACCTCTTCATATATGACGCTGAAGTTTTGATCCTCCATGGCCTGTTGAAAGCACAACCGAAGATAGAAAAACAGAATAAATTGAAGAACAAAAAGAAGAAGCAGAGTTGAATGAGGAAATTAAAAGAGCGTGCATTGTACCGTTAAAAGATCAAAAAACGCAATTCGTTCTTGCGTTTTTGTAAAATTCTCCGGTGATATACGCCGGTAAAGGCAACGCAGTTGGGTCTTGCGTTTTACGTATTTAAAAGTATAATACGTAAAACGCATCTCCCAATTGCGTTTTAACGTATTCCATACGTATTGTGAAAACGCAACTGGGAGATGCGTTTTTCGTATTCAATACGGAAAACGCAACTACCAGTTGCTTTTACGTATTTAACGAAAAAAAATACGGATACTATACCTTCAAAAACGCAACTCGCAATAGAGTTTTGCATATTTCTGTCAAAAAAAAAAAGTCAACACACATTTTGGCAAATTCGAAGCCCATTCTACACATTCTAGTCTTTTTCCCCACGTCTCACACCCCCATTATTAACATATACATATATATATATATATATATATATATATATATATATATATATATATATATATATATATATTCTCTTACAAATTCAGTTCATCTCTGATCCAGGCTCGGATTTTGAGCTGTGCAAGCTGGGCTATCGCACAGGCCCCAAATTTTAGAAGGGCCTCAAATTTTAGAAGCCCAATATTTCATTTTTACGTAGTTAGTCTAGAAATAAAAATTAAAAGTTTTCAATTAAAATTAAAAGGCTCCATGAAGAAATGTTAGGAACATGTGTTTATTGTATATCAACTTTAAGGTCTAAAGTTTAAAACTTGTGCACACTATTGTTATTGTTATAATTGTAATTTATTCCATAATACTATTATTATTATTATTATTATTATTATTATTATTATTATTATTATTATTATTATTATTATTATTATTATTATTATAATTACAATTTATTCCATAATATGTTTTTTGGCTTTTTCTTTGTGCACAATAACATTTTACCACCTTCTTCTTATTATTATTATTATTATTATTATTATTATTATTACACGTGCGTTGCACGGAATAAATTTGTTATAATCTTTAAGAATATTTTGATCAATATACAAACATAAATCATAACAACGAATATTATACAGTGCAATTGATGAAATGTGTTGTATCAATTATGTTTTTTGATGTTATCCTTGCTTGAATTCTAGCAAATAATTGTCCAATTATCCGTGCAGTGCGCGTGTAATGCATGGATAAATTTGTTTTATTATATATTTAGACAATAAAATTGTTACTATTTCTTTAATCCTTTCAAAATTTGTTAAATATTCATTCAAATACGTGTGAATACGTATCAATGCAGAACACTACTGAAAATTTTCATATGAGCAGAAACAGACATGTGGGACCGTTTCTACATAAGAGAGAAACGATCTCCCCGAATATGCTTTCCCTCGGTTGATATTCGATTAGAATAGTATAGATTAAAAAAAAAAATTACGGTATTAGCTTTAAAGATTTTGATTTTGGTAGGGTCTCATTTATTTACCCGAACAGGGCCACAAAAAAAAAAAAAAAAAAAAAAAATCGGCCCTGCTCTGATCTGTGTCAAATCGATTAGTTGGCTTATTTAGTTTGTTTAAGAAAAGAAAATGAAGTTATGCATGTAATTAAGCTTATGTACTCTACCCACTTCAATGCCTTATTTTGGACCTTAGCTTGCTACACTCCCCTAAATGTGTGGTTTTTGTAGGGGGAACATTTCCCTTTTTCAATGCCTTATTGTTATAAATTTGTGTTATTCCACTATAAACTTTGTAATGAATGTTTTTGTCATTTTTGTAAAGGAAAATGTTATATTTACCCTTAGCTTTCTAAAATTTCCTTAATAATTTTCCTCCATGATGTAACTTATATTCATTGAGTGCCATGAATTGGCCTGGCTGACGCGACACACTTTTAATAAAATATTAAATAATCTAATTAAATTGTACTACATTTGGGAGGGAATGAAGTTTTTAGGAGGGGGTAAGGGAACCTAGTATTATTCATTTGTAATTCCTACTTTTGTACCTTATAATTAAGTTATAACACAATTTTTTTTTTTTTAAATTTCTAACCCAAAAAACACACACACACACAAACACAAAATTGTTAGAGGAAGAAAACTTTAGTATGTTGGAGATGTGCAAAGTTTTTTTAGGAGAGTAGAAAACGAAAAGACAAGACTACCCCTTAAATCACATTTAGAAACTCTTATATATTATTGTAGAATTTATAATCAAGCTAATAAACTAATTGAGCAGCACATGCAAACAATAATACTAGTACTTCATCTAATCATATGTTGATGACATCATATTAACCGGGTCTCAGCTTGATTTCTTGAGGGTGTTTGGTTACCGGTTGATCAGCAAAAAATTGGCTGGTTTGACCAAGTTTAGTTGTTTGACTCATTAATAAGCTTTTTTGGAGTGTTTGGTAAATGACTGATTGGCATTGGATAATTGAGTGAATCAGCTAAAAACAAAAAAGCTAGTGAATGTAGTGTTTCTTCTTCAACTGCTTGGAATTAATTTTGAAATTGACTAATTTATCCTTTGTAATCCATCATCTCTAACATTAAATTTTCCCTTTCATCTAACATCATTCTCTCTTTCATCATACTCATCTGTCCCTGGTTCATCTGTTTTCCCACGCTTTCTCCCCCCACCATCAATGCCTTCTCCATCCACCGTCCTTCACACCGATCACCGCTACTCGCGCCGAAGTCATCATCATCCAGATTTTTTTTTTTAAAAAAAAAGAAAAAGAACTACAACAACAAAATTGGAAAAGACTAACCCGAGCCATATCCATCTCCAATCACCATATCTTTATCCTCTGTTTCTCGTCGTTTTCTTTGCATTGATTTCTAGCCGCTTTCTTTGGGATGATTTGGGGCAAAGAAAAATATTGGTTAAGAATTTGCTTTTAAATGGGTTGTGGGTTTGACAAATAATAATAATAATAATAATAATAATAATAATAATAATAATAATAATAATAATAATAATAATAATAATAATAATAATTTTTACAGCAAAAATAATTTTAAATTTCAAATTATTAAAATTAAAAATAATTTAATAATAGATTTTTAAATATAATTTAATAATAGTTAAATAAACTAAAATAATTAACTTATGTCCTTAGAAAAAGTATAGATGTTGATTTAAATTTTATAATTATTTATCGAATAAGAGTTTATATATTTTGTTATATTTAAAAAATAAAATAACACAATATACTCATACCCTTAAATATCATTTTACATGCAATAAGTTTTTTTTTTTTTTTTTTTTTTTTTTTTTTTTTTTGAGGAATAAAGCTGCAATATATTAATGAATGAAAGCAACAATAGAGTCAGGAGGGACAGAGCCCTATTACAACGAGCTAACTTGAGCATAGGCTGCTAAAGCAAGAGTATGAGCATGGAAATTTAAAGCTCTAGAAACTAAGCTAATAAAGCAATAGTCAAACGTGGACATAGTTGCCCTACACTGATCAATGGTGATCCCAACATAAGACAAGACCGGCATGTGAACAGACTGCTACGGAGCTCAGAACAATCTGTGAATAAGTCTACGGCTAATACACCCGATCCTTAAGCCAAGATAACACTTCCTTACAAGCAAGGGCCTCCGCCATCAAAGGTGAAAAACAATCCGCAAGCAATCCACTGCATGCTGCTAAGAAGCTCCCATCATGCGCCAACAACACAGCCGCGTATGACGCTGACCCCGACGCCGGCCTGAATCCCGCATCGAAGAAGCATTTTGGACGGCCTGAAGACTGAGGTAGCACATCGGTGGGGGACGACTGCTGGGTTCGTCCATTCGCGTGCTTCCAGTTTAGCAGCGACACGGCTGCTCTCCTCCTGCATTCGGTGACGGTAATGTTACTCCCAGACAGCTTGATTTCTGACCCTCCAATAACACTACCACCACAAGATCAATATTATCCTTAGACATAGAACACATGACATTCCGCAGCCATATAGGGATGGTTTCAGGTAGAATAATTGTGATTGGAATGTAACACACATGCCAAACAAGTTGAGAGTATTCACACAATATCACACATGCCAAACAAGTTGAGAGTAATCACACAATATCAAAGCATCCATGACATTCTCATGAACTAGACCACATTTTGGGCATTTAAGATCCACATCAACTATCTTTATAACCAAATTCAAAGTGGTGAGGAGGATATCATTAAGAGCTCTCCAGCGAAAATGTTTCCATTTATGAGGAACATGTAGCTTCCAAATGGAGATCCATTTATCAAAAAACCCCAGGACATCCTCATTACCAATAATGTGTCTATACCCACTTTTGACTGTGTAGCAACCCCTTGGGTCCTTATACCAAAACCAAGAATCAACATAATCTACACTGACGGGGAGCTTGAATATACAGATAGAATATGTGGATCCCATGTCTTAGTTTCTTGGTCAATTAATCCAAAAACCAATGCACCACTCAACTCATCAGGCATAGCAGTTTGAATTAATGGACTTGGCTCATCAGGGAGCCAAGGATGTCCACAAATTAAAGTAGCTTTACCATCACTAATTCTCCTTCTTACACCTCCACAAACCAAACCATGAGCAGCCATAATACTACGCCAGCAATAACTCGGACAATTACCCATATTTGCATCATAGAATAAGGATTTGGGGAAATACCTAGCCTTATACACCCTGGCCACTAACGAGTTAAGAACAGTCAAGAAACGCCAGGCTTGCTTTCCTAACATAGCCAAATTAAAAGCACAAAAATCTTTAAAGCCCAGACCCCTAAATTTCTTAGGAATATAGAGCCTATCACATGCCTTCCAATGAATCCCCCTATTATTTCCAGAACCTCACCAATACATGTTCATGGTCCTCTCAATTGATAAGAAAACAGAAGCAGGAAGCAAAAAGACACTCATAGAAAAAGTAGGCATAGATTAGGCCACAATTTTCAAGAGAACCTCCTTACCAGCCTGAGAGAGAAGTTTCTTATTCTAGGAGCCAATAATCTGCTTAACTTTGTCCTCAACATATGCAAAAACAACTTTCTTATTTCTTCCACAAAGGATGGGGGACCTAAATACTTCCCATAGTTAGGAGCCTGGGTGTAACACCCCGTGTTACGGCCTCTAACCCAAACTAATTATTTAATTACTTACCCTAAAAAGAGAATTAAATTCCATTAATTAACTAAGAAGGGTCCACCATAGTCCATAGACCATGGACCCTTATCCCTAAACCAACCCCTTAGTCCTATAAGAAATAGAATTAGCAAACCCATACCATTCAGACCCTAATTAGGACTCTTAGATATATAAATAGGGACATAGGAGGCTCCAAGAATTCACACCACAATAGATATCACCACACAAGAATTTCCAAGAATTCCCTTATCACCAACGTAGGAGAAATCAAGAAGAGGAGATCTTAGAGAAAGGACCTTAATAGCCAAGGAATCTAATTAAGGCTAAGAGGTAACCCATGTCTCAACAAAACCTATTTTCCTTGCTATAATCTTCTTCTTTGACTCCGTATTCTATGTTTGTGTCTTGATAAATCTTTTATGATGATTATGATATGATCTTGATGATTGATGAGATGATCTTATGTGTTGATCTTGATAATCTTGATGATTATAAGAGGATCTTGATAATTTTGTGTTGTTCTTGATAAATCTTGATTTTAAAAGATGAAACTATGATTTTGATGATTTGAATATGATTAGAGCCTAGGTTGAATTGGGAATTTCGTATTGTGATATTCTTGGTATATTTGGGTGGGATTTCGCATGTTCGGGTGTTATTTATGTTTAGAAGTCATGTTAGGATATGTTCAATATGATTCTTGGTTTTGATCCATTATTTGACTACGTGGTGTTGTCGTTTGTGTTTAAAAAGTGTCTAAACATGGTTTCGAGTTCCACAAAAGATCCCGGGACCCAAATATTGAAAAGGAGTCAGTGGGGGGTAGGGGAACCCGCCACCTACCAGCTACCCATTTTTGGCGTCGCCGGCAGCGGGCAGGCGACTGCCCGCCGGGCACCCTCTGCCCGGTTTCTCGCCACTTCCACCCGCCGGCCACCCGCTGGTTTTTCCCCACCTCGGGATGTTGGCTTCCCCGTTTGATGTTTCCCCGACCCTCGTGGTGTCCCAACGGACTCCGTTTATCGTGCATGAGTCTAGTTTGATATTTCGGGTACCGTTCGTAGGATAAAAAGAGTTTTGTGTATTGCATGCTAGTTGAATTGGTACCCCGTTGACCTAGGTGAAAGAAGTATGAACCCGGTAGGATTATTCCTAGTATGTGGATGACTACGCATAGGTTTAATTATACGTTTTCTCCCCTTTCCCAATATGTTTATGTGGATTGCATGAGATTGCTATGTGTTATGTGTGCGTGATACCCCAATATTGGCTGCGGTCAAATTGGTTATACATGAGCTGCGGTTCATAAGCTGGTTGAGGTCAGAACTACACTATTGGGTTGCGGTCCAACGTTTGTCTCGCAAACATTTTACATGAGCTGCGGTTCATTTTCCTAGCTGCGGTCAGTGATTCACTTTTGGGCTGCGGTCCACCGTTTGGCTCGCAAACGGTTTGATGAGCTGCGGTTCATCGGTTGGCTGCGGTATGAGGCAGGGTGCTGCGGGGCCGTGTTAGCGCTATATGCGCTGACCCTCATGTATGGGCATGCGATTGGTCCTGTGGCGCCACCAAAGTGTGCTTATGTGATAAAGATATTGATTGAATGATGATGTGAATGATGTGAAATGATCTTGTGACCTTAGGATATATGCTAGTATCTTCATATGCATGATTATAACTGTTGAATGTGCTTGTCCCTACTTGTTGAGTCTATTCTCGGTTTTAATGCTAGAGTCTCCTAAATATATATATATATATATATATATATATATATATATATATATATATATATATATATATATATATATATATATATATATATATATATATATATATTGTATTTTAACGCGTTGGAGTGGGTTACCAGCATCATTCGTTGAACAGATATATTTGGCTTTCAGGCACAGATGATTAGCTACTGGAGCGCGCTAGAGGACCTCGACTTAGATTGTTAGTTTTCCTTTCGGCCTGCGTGCCTTGATGATGTATTGACGTTGCTTCAAGGATATTTAGTTTGTATAGCCTGTGCACCTGAGTTCTCCAGCTCAGGTGTGGCATAGCACCCCAAACATTTATGATTAGTATGCTCTGTGTTGGGATTAAATTAATAGAATTACTTTCCTATTATAAGATCAAAAGTTTTAAAATTTTCGGGGTGGTACAGATGGTATCAGAGCCTAAGTTTGACCCTAGGATAAGACTCTTAAGACCAAACTTTAGGACATTAGGCTTGAACTCTAGGTATTTAGGAACATAGGATTTAGGAATCTTAGGACGCGCGGTGAGATTGTGAGCCTACCCATCATCACATAACTCTCCCTCACTTTATCCTTCATTAATTTAAAGAATCCCCCCCTCCCCCCACTTATCACATCAAGGTAAGGGTGCAACACTCTAACGCATCATTGCAATAAACATTGGCCATGTAAACCGACGACATAGCACCGAACAGAAGACAATCAAGGACCCCGGAACCCACCACACAGGATCCCCTGGCTCAGACTCTACAACAACTAACTCAGGTCGCCCAAACACTAAGCGACGTAACACTCCGCAACAACAACCGACCACCACCACAGCCAAACACAAACTCAGAAATCACCCGACAAGTCTCAAACCATCGGCCACCCATCTTCTCGAGGGAAGAGGACCCCGCAATCCTCGAAGAATGGATTTGGACATTCGACAAAATCCTTGGATTGGTAGAGAGTTCAGAAGAACGTCGTGTAGAACAAGGAATGACCACCGTCATGGAGTACCACAAACGGTTCCTCGAACTGGCTCGTTTCGCACCCGAGTTGGTCCCTACAGAGACGACCAAGATAGAAAAATTCGTGTCAGGCCTCAACTTCGAATCCCGGAAGGCACTAATCGTGACCGGACCCCGGACCCTCAACAAAGGCTTACTCCAGTGCCGCCGACCTCTATCGAATCCAACTACTACAACGTGAGGTCCAGGAATAGATTCGTAAGAGAAACACGGGAGGTGGAGCGCCACCTGTGAAAAGAACAAGAAACGACACTAACACAAGGCCAAACAACCCAGCTGGCCAAGGGCCGCCTCTAAGAAACAACGAATCTAATACGAGGCCTTCCCTTTGCCGGAGATGCAACAAAAATCATAGAGGCAAGGACTGCATGGGAAACCCCTGGCGATGTTTCAACTGCGGGGAAGAGGGACACAGGTCCTTCCAATGCACTCAACCCCCGAACTCGCGCCCTATAGTCATGGGCCAACGCGGGGGCTCGAACAATCAAGGAAATTACGGTGCTCCCGGAAAGGTGTTCGTCATGAGCCGCACTAAGGCCGAACTTGAAAGCGAGGGCAACTTCGACGAAGAAGACGTGGCCCCAAGAAACGAGGACCCCGCAAATCAGTCAGAAGAAAACCAGGAAGACGAATTCTGTTTAGGATGATCAGTGAACCCCCTGTAAACCACCCTCGTAGTAAAGTCACTTGTTTAGTTTAGTTATTTTAGAATTATTATAAATAAAAGACAAAGTCAAAATAAATTAGCATAAAAAGAAGGACTACACAGCCCCGAGAACCCATGAGTTGCCAAAGTCAACATCCACTAAAGGCAAAAGTCCAACAAGGAAGACCGATCAAACCTCCTACCACTAGAAGACAAAGGGAAGATAAGAAAAGATCCAACCTCCTACCACTAGAAGACAAAGGGAAGATAAGAAAAGATCCAACCTCTTACCACTAGAAGACAAAGGGAAGATAAGAAAAGATCCAAGGGGTGCACAACAAAGAAAACCAATGCTATCAATGGAGATTGAACCCTAAACCTCCCACTTATAAGACCAAGTCCTTAACCACTAAACTATGAGTGTTTCTTGAAACCTCAAGGGGACACTCCCTTCTTAAACCCCTCAAAATCCATAAAACTCACAAAATCCCCAAATCAAAAACCCTTCTTCTTCCTCCTCACACGCACTCCCTCTCTCTCTCTCTCTCTCCTCCTCTCTCTCCCCCTCTCCACGCCGCCGTCAACCACCCAAAACAACACCGCAGCCCACCCCACCAAGCGAACCACCACCAACAGCCGCCGTTCACCGCCCGGTCAGCACCACCGCCCCGTGCCCTGCCGTCGCCCCGGAAGCCGCCCGGCCGCACCCCGCTGCCACACAACACCCGGCCTCCCCCCACTGCCAGCGCCACCTGCTCCGCCCAGGCCGACGCACCCCGCCATCAACTCCGGAACGACAGACCACGCCGCCCCTTTCGCCGCCGGAAAAGCCTCGTCACCAGAAAACCCTCGCCGGAAACTCGCCGGAAAACGCCACCAGGAAAAACATCACCACCTAGAGAGATCTCAAAATGACAAAGAAGCCCGTTGGTATTCGAATCCCGGAATGGAACGACGCCGATTACACGGCCATCGGAGGTAAAGCCCTCGAACCCGACCAATTCTCTCCGGGGTTGGTCGATATGCTTAAATTTCAAGGGCTCTTGGATACGTATCTCACAATCAAAGGGGATACGT